AAGGCCGTCTTGAAACGTATCCGGGTGGCTGGCCTGTAGATAAATGAAGCCAAATTATTGCTCGCTCGGATTAGGCTGGCACTGCTGAAGCGGAAAATGGTGACGGAGTGGTTAGCCCAGATAAAGGACTGTGCCATTCTCAATTCAAAGCGGTCCTTCAGGCAATTTCTTGGACGAGCAGCATACCGTAGTGGTTACCGGCTCTGTGAGATCCCTAGTGGACAAAACAAATCACTGATGTATGTCAGATACATTGTTGCAAGTAGAAAGATCCAAGCAACTCTTGACTCAGTTCACAATGGGAGATCCCGTATTTCCGCTGAAACACCACAACAAGAGGAAAAACTTCTACTTTCCTGTTGTCCCAAACCTCCAGGGGTCGCAGGAGTAATCCGCCGATGTAAAGAAATAGTTTTATGTTTGTAGCTAAAATTTTTGGTCACGTTTCGAGTTCGTGGCAGTCAATGATATTAAACCGACAGTCACAACAACAGTCACTCAGGGAGAATCCCAAAGTCACGTTGGATCCAAAAAGTGGACGGTTGTTGTGCTCCGTTAAAAATCATTTTTCTACAGGAATATGACTGACAATGACAGGAAGAAAGAAGAAAAAATTGAGCATGGAAAATAGAAGTTTGCGAGTGCTAAATAACTTTCCCAATGGGTGGGCATGTCGCTTGTAGAAGAAATGCGTTACAACAGTTAACCTTTAAACAAACAGCAAGTCAGTACTGTCGATTTGACCTTGTGTGTGAGGAGGTGCGTGCTGTGTTGGTAGAAAGAGGGTTTGTGTGTCTATGAGACCGTGTAGCGGAAGGAGTTGTTATGCTTATCCTCGGTAGTTGATCGTATGTACACGTAAACAACATTTAACCGATCGACGCTAAATGTCTTTGTGGCCGGTACGACCCACGGCGAAAGAATTGCCTTTCCGAGAAATCACCCTGAAAGGTCCTCCGTATGGTTGTCGTAAGGAATTTCTGACCCCACTGACGCAAACAAAAACAAATTAACATGAAGCAATATCGGGCTTAGAGATTTGTCGAGTCGGTGAAGGACAGATTTCATGCATGTATTGGCGAAGTCATGAAGCGTAGGAATTAGGATTCGTTCCACCACTAGTTGAAATGTCGACACTCAGCTCACCTGGTGGTGTAAGTTGGTGCCAAAGATGAGTTCAGCGAACGTGCGACCATGTATTCTTTAACACTATTGCGTAGACCGAGAGGAACGAGTAGAAGACGCTCCGACCAGCGTGCGCTGGAGGAGGCAATCAGCAATGTCTTGAGTTGTCAATGGGAGCGTTCGACTACACCATTGGCAGCCAGATGGCATGAGGTGGTTCGAAGGTGATCCGTACCTTCCGTAACGTGACCTCAAACCGTAACGGTTTGAGGTAATGGAAAAGTGTTGACGTGAATTATGGACCTCGGTTGGTGGTAATGGTAGCGGGTACACCGAATGTAGCGATGCAGTTATCGACAAAAGTTCTAGCAGCGTTTTCGGCAGATGTGCCGCTGATCGGTATGGCCACGAGCCAGCGTGTGAAGCGGTCGACGCAAGTGAGCACATGAGTGAAACCTCTGGATGGCGGCAACGGTCCAACCAATTCAGTGTGAACATTTCGAAAGCGTGCGTTAGGAAGCTGAAAAACACCAGTTGGAGAAATGCTGTCTCGTTAACTTTCGCTCTTGTGACAGTCGAGACATTGCTTGGCTCAAGTGCGAATCTCCTTTTGCATATTTGGCCAAACGTATGTCTGTGACACGAGTTTAGCAGTCGTTCGTATGCTCGGATGAGAAAGTGCATGGAAGTGGTCAAAAACGGAGCGTCAATAGCTTTCAGGAACAGAAGTTCGTGGGCGTCCAGTGGATATGTCACAAACCGTGAAACTGTCAGAGTTGAGAAGCGGTCGCTTGACAAATTCGAGAGACGAAAGCCTGGAAATATTTGGAAATTCTGGTTCCAATTGCCGAGCTGAGGCAATGGCTTGCAGGTCGATGGGATTCATTGCTATGTGGTTTACCTTAATGGGGGAAAGGGCGTTTGCAACGACGTTGTCTGAACCTTCAATGTAACAAATGTTAATTGTAAACTGAGCAATTAAATCCAACTGTCGGTTCTCTCTCGGTGAGTGTTTGTCTTGAGATGTTCTCAAGGCAAAAACGAGAGGTTTATGGTCCGTATAGATGGTGAATTTCCTACCTTTGAGTATGTATCCAAAGTGTTTGACAGCTAAGTAGATCGCTAGGACCTCTCGATCAAGGGTGCCGTAACGGGTTTGTGCGGGTTACAGTTGGCGAGAAAAGAAACAGAGGGTTTGAGTGCCGTCATTCACTACCTGCTGAAGGGCCGCACCAACAGCGGTCTGTGATGCGTCCGTTTTTAGCATGAATCGGCAATCAGGACTGGGGTTCAAATGACCCAAGTTGGTGACTTCCGAAAGAGCAGTTTTAATGGCGTTGAAGGCAGTGGTAGCTTGGTCGTTGAATTGTAACCGTTTGTTGTTTGCTTTGAGCAGGTCGGTTAGCGGTGCGAGGATCTCTGAGCAGTGTGGGGTGAATCTGCCGTAATAGTTGACCATTCCCAAAAATCGCCGCAGGCTTCGTGTTGACTGAGGTAAGGGGTAGCCCGAAATGGTAGTGGTTTTATCTGGCAGCGGCAGGATTCATTCGGAGTCAATGCGATGGCCGAGAAAGTCAAGCTGGTGTGCTGCGAAAACGCACTTATCTGGATTGATAGTAATACCATTTTGTTGAAAACGTTCCAAAACGGCTTGTAAGTGTAATTTGTTTTCTTCGATCGTTTTGCTTGCCACCAACACGTCGTTAATGTAAGCGAAAACGTACTGTAAACCACGCAGTACCTGCTCTACGAGGCGTTGGAACGCTTGAGCGGCGTTCCGAAGACCAAAGGGTGTAGTAATCGCTGTTTTGGGAATGTCGTCGGAGGAACCGGTATATGGTAATACGCTCGGAGGAGTTCGACTTTGGAGAAAACAGTTCTGCCCTGTAACTGCAGTGCAAAATCGTGGATATGCGGTATTGGGTAGCGGTCAGGTATTGTACGACAATTGAGTGCTCGGTCGCCGCCACCGGGTCGCCAGTCACCAATGGATTTCTTGGAGACCGAATGTAGAGGAGAAGCCCAACATGAATTTGAAGGCCGAATGATTCCGAGTTGCAGCATGTGGTCGATCTCGGCTTTGGCGATTCGCAGCTTCTCGGGGTGTAGTCGTCGAAGGCGAGAGTGAACTAGAGGACCAGCGTTCGTTATGTGGTGTTCGACTGGATGTGGCGCACTCGAGACCGAATTGGACGGCTTGAGCAACCTATGAATTTTTTTATTAAATCGTCGAAAAACCGGAATGTTTGAAATGCGGGCGACGTGAATACCGAGTGGGTATGACGAGGCGTCGGCCTAAGCTGATCGGACGGAAAGCGAAGTTAAAGAATCCAGGAGCTTTTGCCGTTTGATATCGACGGCCAGCGAGAAATTGATCAGGTAATCCGCGCCGATGATTGGGACGTGCACGTCGGCGACAGTGAAGATATCCGAAAATGAGCGGCGAAGACCCAGTTCAAGTGTCAGTGACTTATGGCCGAAGGCAGCTGCACGAGTTCCGTTAGACACCTGTAATGTCGATAACGGATTAGAAGCGTAGCGTTTCGATTTTCCGGCAGGAATAACGCTGAGTTCTGCACAGGTGTCGACGAGCAATCGCATTCCGGTGGTTCTATCCGTAACGTATTAGAGGCGACTAGGTGACTGGCCAGTGGCAGCTGTCGCCACTACTGACTACCCAGTGAGTTTATCTGGTCATGGGAGATGTAGGCGGCATCAGTGTGGGCAACCAAGAGCATTATCTTTGAATTTTGTGTGGTACTAGTGTGGCGTTTTGTACCTTTATTTTGCTTCCATTATACCACTACGTATTTCGTCAATTGCATAATCGATTTTTGTTTGAATACGAAAAACCACAAAACCCCTCACTTGTACAATTTCACGCAATACAAACGTGATCACGTGCTTCAACTCTCTCTTCTGATTTCGCTCGCGCTTGCAGCAAGTGTTGTCGAGCCAGTTCATGGCTGCGAACGAGACCGGCCTGCATGCGTCGCACGAACACTGAAGAATAGAACGCCTCTGGAGCCGTTGTAGGTAGGATTATATAGGAAGGTAGTCGCGTCTCCCTGCCTGTCGTCATAAAGAATGGGGCCTGTCCGATAGACGCCTGGATAGTAGCGCGGTAAGCCGGTAGACAACGTGATGTTGCAACATCCCACTGTTCGAATGTCTCATGGTTGATAAAGGCTTTCAGCAATCCTTTCAAAGTTCGATTTGTGCGCTCCACCATGCCATTGCCCTCGGGTTGGTACGCCGCGGTGCGAGTCTTTTTTATGTTCAGTATGCGGCACAACTCTGAATAAGACGCTTTCGAAGTTGGAGCCTTGGTCAGTGTGTATACGGTAGGGTACACCCCAACGCGCGATCCACTCGGTGAACAGCGTTTTGGCCGCTGTCCATGCATCCAGCTTTGCAATTGGAATGGCCTCGCACCACTTGGTGAAATGATCGACCATCACCAGGATGTACATGTTGCCTCGGTCCGTTCTAGGCAACGGCCCGATGATATCCACACCAACCAATTCGTTTGGAAACCCCGCCTTCATCATTTGCAGTGGTGCCGGGGCACTTGGTCTTCCGTCCTTTACTTGGCCACACTCCGTGCACGACTGACAGAATAGCGCAATATCACGCCGCATGTGTCCACCAAAATCTGCGACGTGCGAACTCTTCCAGTTTGTTCTGTCCCGCATGGCCTAATTCTTCATGAAGTCTCTTCAAGACTGTTTCAACTGCGCTGCTTGGTACCACAATACGACGCAAGTAAGTGGGACCTTTTTTGTAGTAAAGGACACCTTCCGTCACACGCAGCTGAGATCAAAGGGCCCAAAGACAACGCGTCGGGTAGCTCGAACCCGCGATTTCGTCACTGGATGGTCGGTGTTGGTTGTGGAATAGCCGCTCACATAGGAGTTTCAATTCGGGGTCTGAGGATTGAACTGCGGCCCACTCCTCACTTTCCGGTGCATGTAACGACATCGATAAGACGTAAGAAACGGAACATGATGGACAATCACCATGATCGCGGGTTGGTCGGCGGGACAAAGCATTCCCGTGTCGTTTACCTGCTTGATGCCGGCTCTCGAAATCGTACTCTTGCAAGTATGTGGCTTTTGGGATCACGGAAGTTTTGTAACCACAGTAGCGACTCATGATCGGTTCGTACCAAAAACTTGCGACCAAGAAGGTAGTGGCGGAATTGTCGCATGAAGTTTACAAATGCTAACATTTCCTTGCGTGTCGTACAGTATCGCTTCTCTCGATGTGAGAGACTTCGGCTGGCACATGCGATTACTCTTTCCATGGTGTCGCCTGAGCATTGAGACAGCACCGCACCAATCGCGTTCTCGGTTGCATCCGTACCGAGGATAAAGGTGCCAGCAAATGGCGAAATATCCGGATAGGTCAAAACAGGTGTGGAACACAGGCAATCGCGGAGCTGCTCGAATGCCTTGGCTTGTTCTTCAGACCAAACTAAAGGAGTGTTCTTTTGCAGGAGGGATGTGACTAGTGTAGCTATCTTAGCGAATCCAGCTACAAGGAGTGTTCGCAGGAGGGATGTGACTAGTGTAGCTATCTTAGCGAATCCAGCTACAAAGCGGCGATAATATGATGCCAGTCCCATGAAAGAAACGGAACGCACATTTCGACGGTTCAGTTTCAGCTCCGAGTTGATTGAATCGGTTCAAAACAAGTCTTAGGTTGGCGTTGTGCTCCGAAACTGTTTTACCGTATACGATAATGTAATGTCGGTGAACTAGGCACTTGTCCGGAACTAGTCCGTGTAGAGCTGAGTACATTAGGCGCTGGAATGTGGCTGGAGAGTTGGTTCATCCAAACGGCATGCTTTGAAACTCATATAAACCCGATGGGATCGCAAAAGCGGTCTTGCAACGGTCACTAGGCTGTATTTCCACTTGCCAGTATCCAGAAGCTAAGTCCAGTGTACTGAACCAGGCTGCCCCTCCCAAGGCGTCGAAAGTATCATCAGTGCGGGGTAGTGAAAAAGAATCTTTACGGGTGACGTCATTCAACTTGCGATAGTCAACACAGTCGTAAAGAACCTTCATGTTTCTTCACCAAGACGACTGGCGAGGCCCATGGTGACGCGGAAGGTTTGATGATGTCTTTGCTCAGCATGTCATCGATCATTTGATTTAGCTGGTGTTGATACTGAATCGGGACACTTCGTGGTGGTAGGCGGATGGGTGTAGCATCTCCATTGTCGATACAATGTTGTATGTGTTTCGTTCGCCCAACATCAGAATCCTTCCAAGCGAAAACATCGGTGTACTCCGACAGAACACTTCTTAGTTCTGCCTTCGTCGACGAGCTTATTGTAGGTTTCAGTCGCGATATCAGTATGTCTACGTCGATCGACATGGCGGGACAACAATCATCGGCGGAGTCAGCAGTCGTGACGAGGGGGATTTGGTTCCCTTCTAACTCGATGGTACCCGCTAGGAGGTCGATCCTTGCCCGTTGACTTTTCAGGAAGTCTACTCCTAGAATGACGTCCCAGGGTAAGTTATCAACGACCAGCATGGGCTGGTGAATCGTTG